ATGCTTGATAACCCAGCATTAAAGGAAACAAATCATTTGTGGAATAAAAAGGTCTGCTTCCTTGAAAGAACCAAGAGCATTTTTCATGGAACAGCACCTCAATAATGATTCTCCATTTATTTAGGTCAAAAGCTACTCGAATGAAGACAGCAGCTTTTCATCACCACCTGTGGTAGCTAAAATTCAACAGAGTTGGCTCTCGGAAGACAATTTCCATGTAAAAAGTGTAAGGATTATTCAGTGTTTTATGCGGTAACTTGTAATTCTCATACAACTGCCATCCACTCCTGCTCCAGAAGTTACACATTTAAATAAAGGGAAGACATTCAACAAGCAGCTGCGCATCTCTCAGCTACTTCAGTTATACAAACAAAAAGGCTAATAGAGGCAAACAACAGAACGCCAAGCTAAGAGGTCTAAATTAAGCAGAGATCTACAAATTCAGGCATTTAAACCAATTTGCTCCTCTAAGCTTTCATTACCTTAGTCAACAGAGGGATTCTGGCTTGGCTGATTAATGTGCATCTAGAAAAGGTGGCCAAAAATCAAATGGCCAAAGGTTCTGTGTTTTCTATTTTTGCAATCTTAAAGCAACGTTATTTGAAGCAAGGAGATAAAGCAAGTTTGTGTCTGAATGGTCACAATTTGTTGGATACTGCTGCAGTATCTGCATAAGCCTGTCAATTTTAAAAGTTTGACAGTGGTTTGGCACTGATGCTGTCTGTGTAACACCCAGTCTCACCATCTGTCCCTTTCCTTGCCCTCCCTTCCCTGCATCAGCGGGGAACTACAGCTGCCATGTGGCTGGGATCAGCGAGACCCTGGGCTCCTGCAAAGAATAGCAACTGATCTCTTGTTTTCAGAGGGAAATGTTCAAATGCTCTCACCCATCACTACAGAAAAGCTTACACTGAATTCCCCGACACAACTGCATTAAGTGTTTTTCTTCTAAATACAAAAATGCCATCTGCCAACTCTGATGTCTTACTGACAACTTGAATGTCAAGATACAAGGTAAAGCAGTGTTCCTTCCCACAGCGTATCAGGAATACTTTAATAACCAAGAAGAGTCAGATCAGCTTTAATCAAAGCATGAGTGACTGTGTATTTAAGCAAGAATAACTTGTATTCAAATAATCATTACTGATGTCAAATTAACTTTGAGTCATTACCCTTTAAATGTCAGTGAGCAGAACATGTCATTCACATCCATGATCTGCATCAGCATCCAGCCCCAGAAAGACGACAGAATCGGTGTTCGCTCATCAACAAAGTCCTGTTTCTTTTTAAAGTAAAGGATTCAATAAACACTTCAGCGTTTTCTTTGATCTGAATTGATGGTAAAAGTGTGGGGGGATTTATAATCACATACCCATGTGATACTGAAAAACACAAGTATCTTTTCAATTGTTTTTAAACCATCAATTGGATTCACAGAAGTTGGCTGAAATGAAACAACGAAGACCTTCCCAGCAGCTATTGCCTTGCAGTTGCCTTTTTATAAACAGAAGTATCACTACATAGCGAAACCCTCAAATCTACCGCTATTGAACAGGCACCACATATGATCAGAACAAATAAATTCCCTGTTTCAAAAGAGCAGCTTCCTTCTGCCCTTGCAGCAGCAATCCTGATGCCAAAGCGTATCCATACGTGAAGGTTCAAGTTGGAACAAGGCAGTTCTTCGCAAATCCCATCCACTTTTTTGAAGTACGCTGAATAAAAGATGGCCTGTATCTTGCAATGTAAGAACAGTGCAACAAAATCTTTTATTGCTGACCAGGAAACAGTTCCCCGCGATTAAAACAAAGACTCGTGCCTTGCTCAAAAACAGTCGGACCATGAAGAAGTATCAGACACTAATCATGTCCAGCCAGTTTACGTCTGCTTCCTTGTGTACAAGCAAGAAAAACAAATCACTGCAAAACTAATAAGCCTTATTCGCTGTGAGACTTTTTTGGCGAGTGAAATGAAGGCAATGGTTCTGATACAGCAAATGGCTGTCTCAGGAAGTTAACTGAGGAAGGGAGAAGGTTCTGCAGGAAGGGTACGTCTGAAAACTGTTCAGGGATATACACAAGGAGGCAGGACTGATGAAAAGCTACACATGCCCTCAGATTTACAGCCTTACTACTGAAACTCTGCAAAACACGGAATGGTTTTGTATGAAAAATTTTAAATCAAACACCTTTTACATGATTGCAAGTGCACAGTTTACAAGTTCAGCCTTGTACGCCTGTGGTCAGGTTTACAGCAGGGAGGGACAGCGTTTTGACAGATGACAATACAGGATAAGCCCTTTATCATGTTTCACTTTTATTGAACATCTTCTGCAAACGCAGATTACAACCTTGCTTCAGGTTGCACGCATCAACTTAAGCCATAATAAATCAATACTTTTGGAAACCCAAACGCTAGTGGTAAGAGGGGGGGTTAGATCGTGGTTGATTTCTGTAGTTAGAGAAATTACAAGTGTAACAGTCACTCATCAAAGCAGTATGGTGCAAGAGGCTCTTTGGTGCCAAAAAACTGTCGCATTTATGAATGCTACGGAGTAGAAAGCAATCCAAATTACAACTCTTCCTCGCAGTGCTACAGAAACATTAAAGAACACTGGAGACTCCCGTATCTTGAACAGTCTGCGAAGAAGTATCACCATTAAAGAAAAGCTGTATAAAAATCAATGACAAAAGACTTCAGTGAGAAAGCATATCCTATATTTCACCCTGAAATACAGGTCAGGTACGGCCCAGCTCTACAGCAGGCATATTAAATAATCAGAGTTAAGGTGATCCACACACTGAGACCTGAAAGATCACTGCCTTCATCTTACACCCATTTATATGGGCATTTACGTGGCAATGGACTTGCATCATCCGAATCTTCAGTAGCGCCTAAAGTACATACTGCTTACATCCCCACATGCATCCAGAACATAGACCTACGTCAAACACCTACAACTATGTAGAAACCCCAGATTTCAAGTGAAGTCTTAAGAAATACTAAAGTAACTCGCAATTAAGGTATCTACTGACTCATTTTTTTTAAAAACTGGGTAAGTGTAACAAAAATGCAGACTTACTTGCGACTTTTTTTCCAAACTACAATGTATAGGCCGATCCTCGCGTAGATATACACATATATACAAAATTTATAGAAAAAAAACCCAAAAGTCCTGTAGACAAGATTCCTAAATGAGCGGAAAACACTACATATACCATAAAGGAGAAACAGAGAAAGGGCCAATTCTGCCAGCACAAGCACTTAGGGCTCCACACTAACTTCAGTCATTATTGCATGCACTGGATGCCCAGAGCTATCTCTGGGTACAGCCAACTGATTAAACTGCTCTTCCAGTATATCTCACTTCAAACCTGATCTAAAAGTCAAGGTATTCTTAAGCTTGTCAAGTAGAAGAGGAAGAAAAAAAACCCCTCATGTGATTTGCTACAGCATTAAGTGTAGTTATTTGCACAACGTGGCTGGGTTCAACAGAACTGCAAGCTTCCACTTCAAAATCTAACTTGCAACACCTGCACGGCAAGAAACAGAAAAGAGAAAATACGCAGCTTCTCAGACACTCATTTAAAACTATCACCTCTAAAATCAAACATTCCGTTTCTTTTAAAATGCAGGTTTGCTTCACTGAACTATCACTGCAAATCCTACTCTTGTTTTTTCAATTGTGCCTGCCTCAGCATATTCCAGTACACAGCTGAAACATCTGCACCCCCTAGCTGTCATAGGTAAGACACAGTACTTATATCTAACTTACATTCATTTTCAACTTCAAATTTATTGAGGCAGTTTAGATCAATGTATCCATAAAATAATTCAGCAATAACCCAGGTATACCGTTTAAACAGCTTCATGATTTATCCATTTACACACTCAGTACACAAACAACCCAGCCTCTGTACAGGTTCGTCACATGCAAACCACCCATAAAGACAAAAACTTTAATTAAAAATAAGTCACAACTCAGTGTACTGTTTCAACTGCATCTCCGTTTACCAAATGGCACATTGAATATTCTCTAAAATAAGATGTTTTTAACAATCTTGTTAAAAAATTCTTGGGCAAAATATTTCTAGACTTAAAAAACATCGAGATTTTTTCAAAACACTCAAGATACTATACAACTTATAAGAACCTTGAAATAGGTTTACAAGGTTGTTAACCAAGGTATTTACATACCAAATAATGTAAAGCAAAAAATTTGTATTTCTAATGACAAAAAGGTGATGCATTAAAGATTTATGAAATTAAAATTAAGGCTCTTTGTTATAGTTCTTTATGTAACTTTACATAATAGCCAACTTTGGAAATGTCAGTCTTGCACATTCTTGTCAATCTACTGCGTTTAAAGCAGCAGAGTATAGTAAGTATTACTTTGAATAATTACATCGCTACTTCTATGTTCGAGCATGCTTTTGAAACACTGTAATTATGAAATATTTACAATGTGTAGCCTTCAAACTCTATGTAAAAGCACAAGTATGGCTGTCTGATTTCAATACAAACAACATACTTGCAAAAACGTTTTTACTTCTCAAAATTAAATGCCTATTACTACAGTCTTAAAAAGCGAACCAGCTCTGAAAAGTCTGTGTGCCTGAATGTGGACAGTAGAAGTTATGTGAAATTACTCAGACAGTACTGTTTCTCATTTTAGACTGATCTATTCTTTGTATCAGACTCTTTTCTTTAAGCGTGTAGAAAAATTAAATATTTTTTTAAAAAATTCTTCCAAGACCTACATATACTTTTCTCGGCTATGCCCACAGGTTTTTTGAAAAATCAATACTGTCTAGCAGGTCGTAATGATTGGTCCACAGTTTATTTCAGGATGTGTGTTCAACTAAAAGCGACTTGCCGTTTTTCAACGTCGAATCTCTTAAAAAGCACAGTGATATAAAACACTGAAGACAGAACAAAAAAAAATTGGAATGGTAACCTAAAGATCAAATCCATCAGCCATTTCTTCTACTATATCAAAATTTGTAGTCAGAATTGTCTTTATTGACTTTATTTTTAATTTTTGTACACAAAGAAAAACATGTTCATATCCATCATGAACAAAAACTTAAAAAGGCAGAACTAGAAGACATTTGTGTCCTTCACCAAAGCAAAGCTGTGCTAAAGGTTCCAAACATTTCCATTTTTAAAATAAATATTTTCTTTTTTCATTGTCTACATTCCAGTCTTCAGAATGTCACTGGAAACTGCAGCCTATCATGAAATACACACTTTTAAACAGAGTCCCAGCTCACTGCGTTTGGTAGCTTGCCATACCATATCCAGCTTGGTTAGGTATTACAGGAGCACCTTGTCCCTGGGCAGGCTGAGCACCAAATCCACCCATCCAGGCAGCAGATGGAGATTGGCTTAAAAAGAAACAGTATGGTTAAAAAAAGAACAAAAATAATTATATATATATATATAAATAATCATCAAGCTAGTCAAGTTGTTTACAAGACAACAGACTGAAAAAAACCCCATAAAACCATACTTCCTACACTATTATTCACACCAAAATAGAACAATTTATCTTCTTTAATGACCAAATTCAGGTTAAGTGCTACAACATATGATTCGTGAAAACATCAAGCTTTTAAAGAACAACAAAAACAAGCCCCACAAACCTTGGGTACTGGCTGCATGGGACAACCGCCTCCAAAGGCACGTACACACGCAGCTGCTGTAAGTCAACATCAGTGATGCAGAAATGCAAAAAAATTCCCAATGCCTAACTGGCAGGAACACCAGTGACAGGTTTATCAGGGCTCAATGTGTTTAATTGGCAAAAGATAACGAAGAATTAGGTAAAGAGAGTTATTTTAGAAGTATGTTTTGTGAAGACTTCCAGAGATGAAGTATTAAAAGCCCACCCAAACTCTGAAACTGCACAAGTTCAAGTGTCAGTATGTTGTTTCTTCTCTCCAGGGTTATGAACCATTTAGGCAAATAACCTGGGCTCCCTGGCTCAGACTCTCCAGTATTTACCAGCTCAAGTCTAAAAAAACCCAAGTTTTTAGGCACTGGAGAAGACCATCATCCAAGTCTTTGTGCCTCAAGTCTCAAAACACCCATACATATAAAAGCTGTAACTGACCACAAGTCAGAGTGGCTCATCCCACTATTTGGTCCATGGCCATCATTAAACATAAGCTTTAGGCCACGTAGGAGTCCACCTAAAGCTTGAAAACTTGTGCAGTACTTGAACCAAATGGGCCCGAAACGCAGCATTTTTTAAATATTCTAAAAAATTAAATACAATTACTCACTCTACTCCAAAACCCTGTTGATTCCATGCTTGGCCATACATTCCATACGATGGTACTTGCCACCCGTTAGCCATATATTGCCCATACTGTTGTGGATTTCCATATACTTGGCTCCATTGCCCCCACTGACTGTAATCCACCTAGAGAGGGAACAATTCACAGTACTTCAGCTTCTAGAGATGGATGATCTTCCTTTTGTAATGCTGAAGGCAAAGTTCAATCTCACGGCTAAAATGATCAATAGTGAAAAATAAGATATCACTGACTTAATTAGATCCTTGTACTGAAAAATGTATTTGTATATGTTTGAAATATCAAATAATACACGGCTGGATAGTCACCTCGACTGCAGATAGTGAACTAGCAAGAATCAAAATTACCTCAAAGTTTCTCCCTATCTTGAATCATATCCAGAAGACAGTAACAGATATTCCATCAAAATCACTAGCCCAATTTGATGAACAACTGGAACATAACTGAGACAGAACATGGAATTTCATAAGAACACTACCACAAAATGTAACTAGTATAATTGGGAAGGCATGGGTACATACACAATTGCGTTTGTGACACGGTGAAAAGGTTACAGTGCCGTTACCTGTTGGAAGTTTTTAGTCATATCAGGAGATTCTTTACCCCAGTAACATTTAACGACATGTCCTTCAATTGTGGTTCCATTAACTGAAACAATAGCATGTGCTGCACTTTCATGGGTTGAAAATCTAAAGAATATCAAAACAAACTGATGTTATGCTTCATAGTGCTTTCACCTGGTTGTTAAAAACAGTGACTCCATACACACAGGAAATCCACAGAAAAAGATCTGCTTTCACAGATACTCATCTTCTCAGGTAAAAGGGTTGGTGGCCACTTTTAAAAGTTCCAGATTTTTTTATGAACATACGGTGACAGTTTTTAATGTATCAGCAGAAGTTCAATCAAGTGAAATTACAGAAAGATGAAGCATCACTGCATGAGCAAAATCACAGATTTTATTTTTCTCTGTCCATACCTGACAAATGAATAACCTTTTTCTGGAAACACCCTTATTTCCATAATCTGTCCAAATGGTGAAAAAGTCTGTCTCATAAGTTGATCTACAACATATAAAGTGTTTGAATTAGTAACCACCTTGGTGTCCAAACAGCTTCACTAATAAAAAAGCAATAAAACAAGCTGTACCTGTTAGGCCAGAGGCAATTCCTCCACAGTACACAGTACAATTTTTGGGACTCGACTGATTTACTACATCTTCAAATCTCAATTGTTTTGTGTTATCTATAAAGAGAGAAGGCTGGTTTTGAAGCAGTAGGCTGACAGTAACCACAGAGTCGCAGACACTTACCTTGTGCACAAGTATGAATTATACATTTAACAAACACATTCAGTATGACAGACCCACAGCACCACCACTACATTGATGTTATACCAAAAAAACCCCTATTTTTGAGATTTGGAAGTCAAGTTAGACATGTAAAGTGACATGATTGTAGCAACATTATGTTTCATTTCTCCACTGACGGGCAAGAGAGCAAACACAACACAGCATTACATGAAGGTCTTACTTTCTTGTGTACTTTTGGGTGCTGGAGGTTTCCGTGTCGCCCAGTTAGTTCTGATCTGACGGCCTCCCAACCACTGGCCTCCCATGTGTACAATAGCATTTTCTGCATCCTGAAGAGATTAAAATAAAGATCACAACTCAAACAAGATGTACAAGTCTACTTCCAAGAAAGACTTGGCTGTCAGTTAATTCTGTTGACAAAACCAGTAACAGTACTAAAAGTTATATGAAATTCTGAACAATCAGAGTAAGCCAAAAAGGAAGTAACACAAAGTTACAGAGAAGGCCCTGATAAGAGATTTGGAAAAGCTTTCCTCCCTGCCCTCATTTTCTACACACAGGTTAGAAGCCAACTACACTAATCACACACATACTACCTCTACACAACAAGCATCTGTATTAGAATGTCTAAAGGCTTCCCAAGAAGTACAGAGGTCATACAGATGCCAGAAGCAATTACTAAAATTAAACAACTATTATTTTAATTATATATATTTTAAAAATTCATATTATTTTGCCAACTGACTGTATTAGAAATACAATACACAAAAGTGTATTTAATAGCAACAGATGAAAAGTCAGGAAAGACTTTATAATTGCCAAAACCCCTCACTGAAAAATTTCTCAGATGTGACCCAAGTAACATTTCTATCAGGCAGAACGTGTTTGCAAAAGATGCTGTACAACAACAAGACCTCAATGTTTTTTTTTCAGACTCTTAACAGGCACTCAACGTAACAGGCCAAATTCAGGTAGAAAAATTTTAAGTCCTGGGAATACTAAATGGTAGCTACTGCTACTAAGAATGTGTAATGCTGAGATACAAACAGATGGAGCACCTAAGTTTCCTTTTCCGCCTCTCTTCCGCCCTCTGGAGGCACGCAGTAGGTGTCTGAGTGTACTGTAAACTGCTTCCTAAGTTCTCTACATTTTGAGGTCATTGTATGACTAAACATACACACACACACACACACACGAGTCCATGGCCCACGTGGCTTAAGTTCTTATCTTGAGCATGAATTAGAAGACAATCTTTCAAGTTCCCACTGCAAGCAGAAACATCAAGTAAGCAAGGAGTAAGTTTGCTAACACTTGCAAGAAGCGATTTTTTCTCCAACTGCTCTGAAAGGAGAGGCAGAGCAAATAGTGCGTATGTTTGAAAAGCTTTTCCATGGGCACAAAGCTTAAGAAAGAAAACATGGAGCACAAGGGACAAAGGGAACATAGGGACAAGTTAAAGGTGAGTGGCTGGCACTGTCCTGCCTCACGCTGAAGGCTTCCAGCTGTAACAGATTCATCTCAAACTCCAATCACTCAGGACCCTGATCCTCCTAAGTTTTAATTATACAGAGCACTCCTTTTGAAGACAATACATAAATTTAAAAACTATGAGATGACCAAGGGGGCAGAGGGGGAAGAAAACAAACAAAACACCAGACAACAAAGTCGCTCCCAAAACATAGTAAGTTACGAACTGACAGAGGCAAGGAAACTACCTCCAGTGAATCCTGCTGCCAGCCTTGAGGATCACAGCTATGACAAAAGTGGGACAAAGCCATGCCATAACTGTTCCAGTTCAATCTGGGAGTTTAATTTTCTCGTAACTGTGGTGTCTATTAAGTACATGAAGTCTGTGAACAGACTTCCCAGCTCCCCAAATACAGCAGGATGACAATTCTAAAAACCAGACCTTAATGAACAGCAATCAGGGCACAAATTTTAGAAGCATTTCTTAGTATTACATTTAGAATTCATCCATTAATTTTGCAGAATGAATACAGATTTTAAATCAGAGTTTTTACGGCTCAGTCTTAAAGGAATCCAGTAAGTTGCATTCCATGTGACTGCTATAACATTTCCCTACAGTCACAGAAACCAACGTAACGTTATGGGTAAGGGCAGAAGGGTACAAGGAAATAAGACCTCTCTTCCTCTTGTTTATTTCAGCTGCAATAAAAATATATGAATTGTAAGTGGAAAAAGACACGAAATCAAGGCACTCAATTGTAATATCCTATGGCCTCAGCCAAGAGCCCCACAGCTCTCCTGATGGGACCAGGCACCCAACTCACTGCAGGAGAGATGGTTCCACCCTAACACCCAAACTCGCTGTCTATGCTCAGGAATCTCCTTTCCCAATGTTCTCATAGCATCGCTGTCATCTGAATTGTTTCAGCCCTTAACCACAAATAAGGGGAGTTTTGATTAAATTTGTCCTGTAAACACCAATTTATTTCCCTTGGGAACATCCGATACACAGTGAACATAAAAACAAAGAGGCAAAGCTAAAAGTGGAAAATACGCAATTACTTTAAATCCACATTGGGATTACTCACCAGTTTGTTATAAAAAGATACAAAACCATAGCCTTTTGACTTTCCAGTTGCCATATCTTTAACTACCCGTGCATCCCTGTGAAAAGAAGCACAGCTATATGAGGGCAATATTAATAACCTGCAAAATAAAAACTAAAAGGAACCACACACACTGTATTGTGAGCATATTTTTTTCTTATAAATTCAGTTAGCCCTAAAACTACAGTCATTCCTGAACTCTCCCTATTGCTTCTTTACCTGTTAGAAAAAAGCAGTAGGACAAAAAAAATAACATGTAATAAACATGCAACCTATCCACATAACCTATACTGGCTATAACTAGAATGTTCAAAACTAGAATGTTCAAATTTGAAGTATAAGAGAAACAAAGTTTCCTTTTCTAATATTCTATCGGCTAGGGCCCTCTAAGGTTTACTGTTCTATAAATTACTGTAACAATTCTATCTAATTTACCATGCATTTTCTAAATAGTTAAATGTCTTCTGCCTAGTGATACAAAATATATGAAATATTAAAAAATTGAAAAAGAGGAAAAAATAGGAATTAAAAGGCATACATGGCCTGTTAACAGATTTCTTTATTTTTCTCGGTCAATTCTCTACCATCATTTTGGAGTTTGGGTAGCTGTAAATTTTGAAAAATTGACATTTTCAGAAATTTAAGAAAGGAGAATAAAACTAACAACAATGCTAAGCACACCAGTACGAAAACAACAAATTTACACAGAAATTTTAGTGAGTAAGTTAAAATGATTGGAAATATAGAACTGCACTGAATATAGAATGTTAAAATGTAAATACTAAAATATGTATATATAAATAATGTATAATAAGAATAAATAGAAATGAGAAAAAATCTACAACTGAGTTCCAGTGTGCACAGTTCCTTGCAGTTAGCCTTCAAGATCCTGTCCATTCTTATGAGCAATTCTGCAAAATAACCAGAATGCTATTACTTTTAATTGTGACTTGGACTTTAGAAAAACTGCAGGTCTCAGGTATAAATATAGATTGAGAAACAGCAACCTGAATTATTCTCTTTAAATCGATTTTTAAACAGTACTACTTACCACATTAAGAGACAAAAAGCAAAGTAAACAAAATAGCAGAGGTAAGAAATCAGATTTATGATTCATTTAAAAATATGCGTACAGAACAAGAGAAAAATAAGAATTTTTGTTCTTAGAAATATATTCCTGTAAAGCAGTACAAAAACGTTCATGTGCAACTTTAAACTATTTTTATAAAGATAAACCGATAGAAGATTAACAGAGCTGCTTTTATAGCAGTACCCTCAAGGACAGACATACTTCAGATCTCTTGTAATGTCAAGTATGTTCAATTAAAACACCAGGTGATTTGCTACCACCTGAATTATCTATGAGAAGTTTAAAGAAACATTCTTCTTAACTGGCAGAAACGTGCACATATTGTAAATCCACCATTCTTTCGTTTCATTATTATCTTAATTCATCCCATTATCCTCTACAAAGTAGATTTCATTCTCATAAATATCAGCTTTTTTCAAAATGTTTGCAAGTTTTTCAACTCGCTGCTTCATTAAATTTGATTCCAATTGCCCCGTTTTCTACACTGCCTATAAAAAGCATACAAAATACACTGTGGATGCAACATGTACCACTATTCTGTACACATTCTGAACACAGGAACAGCAATTAAATTTTAATAAAAAGTTGCAGACCATTAGCATATAAATTAGGTTAAAAGCACATTGCTTTCAGCAAAACCAGAGCACAATTACATCACTGTATTGACAACCATGACAGATACCCAGATGAAACAATAACCCCTCTTTACTGCCCACCCAACATAAGAAATTAACATCAGAAAACTTATCCAAAAAGACATGAAATAACATTTCAACTCAGAAACAAATTTTCACTACAATATTTTCTAACTAATATTGGAAATGTTTATTATGATACTTACGATATTTTACCAAAAGGAGCAAATGCTGACTTGATGTCTTCTGTTGTTATTTCTGGACTTAAATCCCCAACGAACACATGGAAGTGATCTGAAAATAAATAATTTACTAATCAAATATTTAACTGCTATCTAACATTACAACTCCTGAGAAAGTGATGCTCTGCACACAGCACGGGGAACCAGGACCGCCCAGGATTCCATCTGATGAGCAGCAGCAATTTAATCTGTCCACTCCAGTTTCCCCAGTTGTAAAGCAGAAACAGAAGAATTAGTTTGCAAAATTCTATTAAACACAAGATGGGAAGGAGAAAAGTTATGTTTCAATGAATTTATGACAAATTATTACCACGTTGTGAAGTATTTGTGTAGAAGTGATACTGTGGCATTACTTTACTTACTGGATGTATCTTTTTTCTGGCTACTTGGTGTTGTTGCCCAGTTTACTTTGACCTCCTGAAAATAAGTGTAAGATTTAGTATAAATTCACAAAATTCTTACATTTTTTAAAGTTCATTCAAGGGTGGGTTACAACTGTCAACGCTTACAAATCACAGACTCAAGATAAAACGCTGCAATATTTAGGACATCACACACAATGTTTCCTAAACAAGACTTACTTTCTTAAATCAGCATTTAAAAAATACTATTCCACAACATTTAACAATGTTAAACATCTTTAACAAAACGAACGCCCCACAGTTTTATTAATAGCTTTACACAAACCTTTATTACTTAAATCTAAGATTACGATGTAAGCAACTTACCTTTCCCAAAATTTTTCGCCCATTCATAGCAGCTAATGCAGCAGCTGCATCTCTGTGTTCATAAAATTCCACAAAGCAATAAGGGTCATTGCTTGTATGCTGCAAAACAGAAAATCCAACAGAAGAGTTGACCCTTCTGCTATCGGGTTGCTGAGAAGAAAATCCAGGAAAATATATTACTTACAGCTAGAAACGTTAAGAATTATTTGCATCAGATTTATGAAATAGATTTTGACATTACACTTAAATGCAAGAATTATTAAGATGGACTTTTTATCACAGGTCTAGCAATTCAGAAGTATAGTTTACTTTGTATAAGGGCTCAGCACTTGAAGTTTGCTAACCTAAAAATAATCCAACTACCACAACAGTGATGTGCAGACTGGATGGGAGTGGGGGAAAAGGGAAGAATGGAGAAAAGAACAAAAATTGTCTTCTGCCTCACACATACACTCAAAGCTCGAAAGGTTTGTTCCCCAGATACATTTTTGCCAATTTTCTCTCTCCTCCTCCTAAAGTCTTTCCTTTTGTTTGCTTGAAAATCACTAGCAGACAGCAACCTAGAAGTTGCATTTTCTCAGTCTCAAGTGAAAAATATTCCCAGAAACTGGGAAATACACCTCTAAAAGGACTCAAAATAGTCTGAGAGAAAAAGATATTTATCAACTGATATCAGAGTAGGCCTTTACCAGTTTTACTATTCAACTTCTGAGAATTCAGACATGCTTATATGGACAAAGAAATCCTAATTCTGTCCTGTAAAACTGGATGGTACATTTTCAAACACGGTTCTGCCTACACCTGAACAAGGGAAGCTGTTAACATCTGACAGCGGAACTGATCACGAGACCTTTCTAGACCTAAAATGATCAAGTAGACTGAAGTCACCCTTCTAAACACTGTCAGTACCGGGTGTCTCTATCTGAAAATGAACAGACAAGAGAAAAATGCAGCTGATATTACTTAAAAAGAAAGGAAAAAGAAAAAAGAGTTTAAGTCACAACAGCCATGAAGTGCTGCAACGAAACCTGCACTTGGGAAATCCATTTAAGGCCTTAACAGATTTTGTGCAGTTTATACTTCAATTGAGCTGCAATTTTACTTCAAGATTGTGGGAAGGTGGTCTTCTGCACTAAGAACTTTTCTGAAGGCGAGAAGAGCCTCTTTTGCAGATGCCGAGATCTTTAGGTGTTCAAGATACCTGTAAATGCCAGTCACACCACCCCCGAGTGCTATATACCCCCAAAACAAACACCTGAAATCTCTCAACTTGACACGTTCATGTCACATATTCT